CCCCCCCCCCCCCCCCGGGTCCCCCGCCTGAGGGCTGTGATGCGCACCTGGTGAAGCGGACCTCACAGATGTTGCACATGTATGGCTTCTCCCCGGTGTGGGTCCTCATGTGCCGCGGCAGCTTCCCGGCCCCCATGATGACTTTGTGGCAGATGGGGCACTGCTGAGAGGCCTTGGGCTTCAGCTTGCGCTCCTCCACCAGCGGCCAGGGCGGGAAGAGGCCCCCCAGGTGGGTGGCACTCAGGAAGTTGAGATAGGCACCGTAGTCGTTCTCCGCCTTGATGGGGCCCAGCGGCCCCCCGGGAAGGTCGGGGAACATGTCCTTGAAGAAGTCGTTGGGGAAGGGGGGCGGTGGGGGCGGGGGCAGCTCCTCCTTCTCCTCCTCCTTGATCTTCCGGTTCTTGATGACCAGGTCTAGCGGCCCACTGTCCATGGGCTGCTCAGGCAGCTGGGCAAAGGCACCGAAGTCCCCCGGCCAGAGGTGCGGGAAGAAGTCAGGGGCGAATGGAGATAAGGAGGGTCTCCTATCAGTGATGTTGGCTTTGGGGTACAGGTTCTCCCTCAGCAAGGATTCGATGGAGAAGTCCCGGATGACGCCCAGATGGCCGGGGCTGCCGGCCTGGAAGGAATCGGGGAAGTCCCTGGGTGCGTCGGAATAGGCCTTCTCCGTGAGATTGTCCGTCTTGGAGGGGCTTTGGTGGCAGTTGATGTCCTGGGGGTCGGGCAAGTTTTCTTGGTCGGCGAAGTCTTCGGTGTCATCATCTTCGTCTTCTTCCTCTTCCTCCTCCTCTTCCTCCTCGTCCTCCTCATCATCGTCATCCTCGTCGTCGTCGTCGTCCTCCTTGTCGTCCTCCTCCCCGCCGTCCCCGCCGGGCTCCATGATCTCCAGGCACACGTTCACGATGCACTGGATCTCCAGCATCCTGGCGGCGTTGAGGATGTGCTTGACGTTGGAGGCGGTGATGGTGAGCGTGGAGGTGTAGGCGAAATCCAGGATGGCAGCCAGGGCCTCGGGCTGGACAAAGTCGATCTCGTAGACGTACGGCTGACTGGCCAGGGCGCCGGCCGTGAACAGCTTCTTGAAGTACTTGCTGCAGGCCGCCAGGACGGCGCGGTGGGTGCGGTACTCGTGCTCCTGTACCACGAGGAGCACGTCGCAGAGCAGGCCGTCCTGCCGCTGCTCATTCAGGCTGCACAGGACCTCGCTGCTGTGGTTGGGGAAGGGAATGCCGATGAGTTCGTCGATGCCATTGGCCATGTTCTCAGCCAGAGCCCTGCAGGGACGCACAGAGAGGAGGCCGGGGTTAGAGGCACAGTCCCAGGAGGGGACACCCAGCTCTGGGGCCGGTGAGGGGGGCCGCCGGGCTGGTGGGCGTGCTGGCCACGGCACCCCTGCCTTTGCTTAAGGCTTCCCGCTCCACCAGAAAGCCGACCCTCCTCCCTCTCGGCCTGGCCAAACCCCACCTGCGATTCAGAGCCCAGCGCGCAAGGCGGGCTTTTCACTGTACCCCCGGGGCCCTCTCCCGGCACCCCCAAGGCCCTTGGCCTGAGGCTTCTCAATGGGCAGGTAGTATACGCCATTTAGCCAAGGCTGTGGAAGCTTCTCCTGGGCACGGTTCCACTGAATTCGCTTCCTGCTCTGGGCACTACAGGAGTGGCCCTCAGTCAAGGGCCAAGCAAAGGAATGTTCTGTCGCCACTCAAGGCTCCTGCTGGGTAAATGCTCTGTTGTTTTGTTTCGTTTTCCACAAAGCCTCTGACTCGGGTAATGGATGAATATGTTGCTACTATTGGCTACTGTTCTGAGCGGCGCTGTGGTCCCCCCTCTGCCTGCCCCAACTCGTATGCTGGAACCTTAAGCCTCAGGATCTCAGAATGTGACTCCCTTCGGAGGGAAGACTTTTAAAGAGGTGACTGAAGATCAAATGAGGTCACGTGAGTCAGCCCTAATCTAGCATGACTGGTATCCGTATAAGACGGGAGGAGGACACAACACTCAGAGGGCAGAGCCCGTGAAGACACAGGGAGAAGATAAGCCAAGGGGAGAGGCCTCAGAAGAAACCAAACCGGCCTGACACCGTGACCCTGAACTTCCAACTTCCAGAACTGTGAGAAAATCGGTTTCTGCTCTTTAAGCCCCCCAGTCTGTGGCTCTTGCTTACCGCGGCCCGAGCAAACCGATAACAGCTTCTAGGAATCTTAACAACCACATTTTGTGGCCCATTTTCGGCACAGGAATGGGGGCCTAAAGGCATATGTCTTGCCTTCTGACCTTACTTCCGGCTTCGTTCTAGTTGACGGCATTTCTATTCATTTGCAAATCTTGATCTTTTTTTTCTCCTTTGGAATACTGACCTGCTATATATGTACATCGGCGAGCTGTTTCACATGTCAGTAAATGTTTAAATTCAGTATTAAATTCGAGTACACTGTTAGTTAACTTATCGTGTCTGTATTCTGTTACCCTCAGGGAGACGCATCGCCTGCAGGGAGAAGCCTCTTCTGAGACCCCTTAGGATGAAGTGTGGCCAGTGACAGCCACCGGGAGGCAAAAGGGCAGGACAGAGGACACCAGAGGACATCACCTCCCTTCAGGGAGCCAGACTCATCGCCCAAGTCCACAGATTCAACCTGGACAAAAAACCACTTCAGTTTTTGTGCCATGGCATCGAGGATCCCCTCTGCTTAGGGCAAAGCTTGATTGTGGCCCATGCGTAAATCCTAGCAAAAGCCTGGTCCTCACCCTGGTGCCATGACAGTGAAAAGCAAATAAAAATGAAAACAAAACCTGAAAGCCTCATGCCCCAGTGGGAAGAGCTTTGGGGATTCCCACACATTTATCTTCCGGACGTTTCCACTTTGGGAAGGCAGGTACCATAGGAGTGGAGGAGTGAGAAGGGCCACTCACACGATACGTGCCCTGGGTGGGGACTGGAGGCCCCAGGGACCTGGCGGGGAGTGCAGGTGCTCAGGAGGTTTCCCAGAGTGAAGGCCTTGCTGCTGCCCTGCCTCCTCATCTTCAAAAGGGCCAGGGACCCCCACAGGCCACGCATTCATCCCCTAAATAGTCACTGGGTCTCTCCCTGTGCCAAGCACTGCCCTGACCTCTGGGGAAGCACGGCAAGCAGACCAAGAAGGTCCCTGCTCTAACAGAGCTTACAGAGACATAACTGTGATAAAGGAATATCAAGATTCACCAAAGAGAAACGGGGGCTCCCCACACACCCATCAGAATGGCTAAGATAAAAAGAGAGACAACACCGAATGCTGGCGAGCATGTGGGGAAAACTGGATCACTCATCCATTGCTGGTGGACATAGAGAACGGTAGAGCCTCCCTGGAAACAGCCTCATGGTTTCTTACAAAACGAGATGTGTAACCGCCATATGACGCAGCGCTCTTGATCAGGCACTGTTGAGCATTTGTCCCCAAGAAATAAGAAGGCAGGTGCACGCAAAGACCCGAACGCCAATGTTCCCGGCAGCTTTACGGGTAGCGGTCAATGACTGTGAAGGGTCCAGAGGTCCTTCAACGAGTGACCGGCTCACCAAGTGGTAGTGCACCTACACCACGGCATACTAGTCAGCAAACAAAAGGAATGAGCTACTGATACCTAAAAAAAGCCTGGATGAGCCAGGGTGAAGAAAGCAGCACCAACAGGTTACATACTGCATGACGTCATTTACGTCGTGTTCTTGAGGTGGTATCATTACAGAAATGGAGAACATAGGAGTGGTTGCTAGCAGCTGAGGAGGGGGTGGGGCAGGAGGGAGGTGGGCGTGGCTATAAGAGGGCAACAGGAGGGACCCTCCTGGCGATCGGGACCATTCTGTATCTTGAGTGTATGGAGGTCAATATCTCGGTTGATGTTTTACGGGGATTTTGAAAGATGCTACCGTCGGGGCAAACTGGGTAAAGTGTACATGGGATGTCTGGATTATTTCTTTTTTTTCTTTTTTTTTTAAATATATTTTTTTTAATGTTTATTTATTTTTGAGACAGAGAGAGACAGAGCATGAACGGGGGAGGGTCAGAGAGAGGGAAACACAGAATCCGAAACAGGCTCCAGGCTCCGAGCTATCAGCACAGAGCCCGATGTGGGGCTCAAACTCACCGACCGCGAGATCACGACCTGAGCCGAAGTCGGCCGCCCAACCGACTGAGCCACCCAGGCGCCCCTGGATTATTTCTTAAAACTACATGTGAATTGGGGCGCCTGGGTGGCTCAGTTGGTTAAGCACCCGACTTGGGCTCAGGTCATGATCTCGCGGCTCGTGAGTTCGAGCCCCGCATCGGGCTCTGTGCTGACGGCTCGGAGCCTGGAGCCTGTTTCAGATTCTGTGTCTCCCTCTCTCTGCCCCTCCCCTGCTTGTGCTTATCTCTCTCTCTCACAAATAAATAAACTTTAAAATAAGCTAGATTTCTATTTTAAAAAAACTACGCGTGAGTCGACAAGTTATGTCAAAAAGAGAAAGTTTAATTAAAAGAGTTAAATGGTAGGAAATAACTTAAACCAATAAATACATCTCCTTTCACCCTAGTGAATGACTCTTATCATCTATCTATAGTAGTGGGTGAGGTGGTGGGAAGAGGGAAGCTACTTTAGTCAGAGTGGTCAGAGAAGGTCTCCTTGGGCGGTGTCATTTGAGCTGAGGCCTGGATGGCAAGAAGGATCCAGTCATAGGATGCTGTAGGGAACAGTGGGAACAGCAAGTGCAAAGTGGGCAGACCCATCAAGGTGCTCTAGGTCTGGGGGGCCAAGTTCTGCTCTGAATGGCCCCATTTAACGTGGTTCTTGTCCACTGAAAAACCATTTCACTGCTGCATCCCTTTGGGGGGCTCAGATCCCTCTGCAGTCCTGTGTAGGACTCCCCTCTTCCTCTCTGACCAGGGAGGGCATCCCCATGCTGCAGGCCTCAGCTATCTGTGCTGCAGAGAGTGTTCTGAGGCTCCCTCCTTCCCTTACACCCCAGGCCTCCCTGTTGTAATGGTGGGAGCCAGAGGGAAAGCTTGAGAAGCCAGGGCAAGCGTTGAGGCTAGGTGCTTCTTCGGGGCTGCCATTTCTATTACAGTCCCAGGAAGGATGCTTTGTTGCAGCCAGGTGCAACATGACCTCCCGTGCAGTGAGTAAGGGGACCTGAGGACACTGGTCCCCATCCCCCTGGCCCCAGCCTTCTGCTTCAGACACTCAGGCCTCATAGGGCAGACTGGGAGGACTTAGGGCCGGGCCAACCTTGGCCAACACCTTCTCTCTGCAGGCCAAGTGCCCGCCCTAAACAGTGGGGTTCCCAGATGAGGGATCAGAGTCATCATGTGCCTGCCATCAGGCCTGCTCATCTTCATGATCACTGAGGTATAGCTCCTATTATTATCACTATTTCTATCTCACAGAGGAGGTAAAGAAAGCACAAAAGGATAAATCACAGAGACGAAGTAACGGCGTAAAGATCTGAGTCTGAAGTCTGGCTCCTCGGGCCATGCTCTCGACCACAACCAATCTACCTCCTGCCTCTGCTTCACAAAGGCAACCAAGAATGGCCAGCAGTCCTTGCTGTGGCCTGAGTGGCCCAGACTCCGGGCGTTCAGAGATGCTCAGGGGTGCCTTTGGGGAGGAGGGTGGGAAGGATTTGGGGTCAGCAGGAGAGAGCGGCCCTGCCTCCCCGCGGGGGGCGATCAGGCAGGGGCAGCGGGCAGGTGAAAGCCTGGCCAGCCTCAGGAACTGCAGCGTCAGGAAGACTTCCCAAGCAAGCCCCAGGTCGTGGCTTTTCTCAGAGTGGGTTCAGTGGCTCCCCGGGCAGCCTCCCCTGGTGGTTCTGGCAAAGCTCCGCCAGGGGACGGGGAGAGGGCGAGGGGAGGTGATGGAGCTGAGGCCCCATCAGGCCTTCCCATCCCGTCTTCTGAGCACCGCCTACCTGGATATGCTGACTGCCCACAGCGCTGTTCTCAATGTGCCCCACGTCATTCCCCGGTACCCCCTTCCCTCTAATCCCCCAACACGAATCCTGCTTCGCAGCCCCCATGGCTTTGCTCACACTGAGCTCCCGGCTGGAGAACACCCAACATCTTGCGTCTCCGGCATCCTTCACCTCTAGGGGGCCGCATCCCACCCACACTTCAAGACTTCCCCCGTCCCTCAGTTCAGATGCCGGGCCTCTCCCGCCTTTAGATCTCCCGAACCCCTGATGCCTCCTACCGTTTATTTCACGCTGCTTGTGCTATAACTTATGTTATGCGTCTTGCCATTTCTGCTAGATTGTGA